ATACAGATACAGATACGGATACAGATACAGATAATGCTGTACTCGCTCATCCCTACTGCTTATTACCCTTCGGATAGATATCCGACTCATTGTATTATTTTCAAGTCTTGGCATCAGACTGAAATGTTATTACTGATAAAAGGAGAATCTGTTAATTTATGTTGTGCATTTAAAATTTGTCAAGTGCTCTTCAGAATTTTCCTTGTCAAGCATCTATGTCACAAATATATTTTGAAGGCTAAATTAATAGGATGCTATTTGACACTTTTATCCAAAATGACGTACAGTTGAGAGAAACAGATCAGACTGTCCTTTGAGCAGTTGGAAGTTGCTTATGATCCTAATCCACTGAGCCATGCACTGCTCCCAGTCCCGTATGAAATTCAAGGTCTTCATTCTGCTGTCAGAAAGCTTAACTCCCCACCTTGTTTTGCCGGACCTGCAGGGAAGTGAAGCCAGAGGAGACCTACTTCGATCGGGATGTGGAGAAGGCCTTCATGAAGGCCAGCGCGGACATGTTTGACCGCAAGACCAAGGCCTCGCTCCTCATTTCCAACCAGAACGGCAACATGTACACGCCGTCTGTCTATGGCTGCCTGGCGTCTGTGGTGGCACAGTAAGTCAGCCGTGCAGAGGAACATCGATCTGATCATGCTGCAGGGTCACATGGTGTTCCAACATGCAAAAAAAGAATGCAGAAATTAGTTCATTTCCTGTGAACACAGGAAATGAACTGTCTTGCATTTTCCGTCCCGTTTTTTTTTTTTTTTTAAATTTAGCAGATGCTTTTATCCAAAGCGACTTGCAATTGAGAAAGCAGCATCCGCCAGTCCCTGGGGCAATTTGGGGTTAAGGGCCACGCTCAGGGGCCCAATGGCTAAACCTGCTGCCAGCACTGACATCTGAATTAGTGACCCGCTGATTTACGGGCACAGCGTCCTAATCCAAGGATGCTTAATTCCTTTAACAGAATGATAGCAGAAATAAAGCAGTTATTAGCCCGAGAGTTTAATTTAAATAAAAGGGGGCGTGTCAAAAGGCTTCAGGTTTGAATAAATCCAAGGTACCAGGATAGGAAGAGGCATGAACTTATGGTTCGTAGAATGACTGAAGTGAGGAGCTTTGTGAGCTGTGCCCAGTCTGACGGCAACTGCCCCCCTCCCCCCACAGACACACGCCCCAGCAGCTGTCCGGTCAGCGCGTCGGCGTCTTCTCCTACGGCTCTGGCTTTGCCGCCACGCTTTACTCTATCCGGGTGACTCAGGACGCCACACCCGGTGGGTCTTCTCTCGCCGTCCTTGCTAATGAACTCGATGCTGCACTGCATGAGATGCCCAGTGCTGACACCGCCCCCCCCGTCTCGGTGCCATTTCAGGATCTGCCCTGGACAAGCTGGTGGCCAGTTTGTCAGACCTACGGGCCAGACTGGACTCCCGCAAGAAAGTGTCGCCGGGCGTGTTTGCCGACATCATGAAGCTGAGGGAGGAGACTCACCATCTGGGTATGTATGCCCCATTTCTAGCCCCACCCACACACAAATGACTCCACCCACCTGTGCTCCGCAAGGTCTGGCTCAGGGTCAAGTGTCGTAGCATTGAAATTGCAATTGAAATCCAATTTGAAGAATAATTCTGTGCCCCTCCTGTAGCAAACTACACCCCCAAAGGCACCATGAATGACCTGTTTCCCGGCACTTGGTACCTGACCCACGTTGACGAGAAACACCGCAGGCAGTATGCTAGACGGTCCTTGGATGAGTACGGGCCCTTGGAAGCCGGGCTGGTCAGCACCACAGCAGAGGTATGGGGTTATTTAGCGTTTCTAGGGATAACTACTATTTAAACAAGTAAAAATAAATGTACCTGATTTTAAGGAAACAATTGCCCCCCCTTCCCTCAGCACATCCACAGTCCAGCTAAGAAGATGCCTCGGATACCTGGCAACAGCACCAGCCCTGAAATGGTCACCGTTAGCAACGGAGAGCACTGAATTTACCTCTGTGAGGTACAGAGTTTCATGGTGGAAGTGGAACAAAGGAAAGTGCCCTCATGCATTCTGATCTGTGGTTCAGTGTATTTATCACTGAACACTGAGAACCACAAGACTTCCCGGGCCCACAACCCCACCCTCACTGGTACTTGATGTGTCCCAGGATCATTTCATTACATGGAACACGGGACATACTTACAATGCACAACTATATCAGACTACAATCCCCAGCACGCACCCTGCTGTGAACCTGCAGGGGTCTCTAGAGACGGCTCCATGCCCTGCTTCAACATTGTTTGTATGTTTTTCAAACGCCGTCATTTGTTGTTAATCACCTTCAAGCAAACTGACCAATGACCTCTTGTGGCCGAATGTGGTAAGTGCACCTGACAATACGCACATAGGACTGTTGCTCGACTCTGAGCCACCAACAGGAAACGAAAGCTTAAGCAATATAGCTGTGGAAGCCTCCCCCTTTCCTTATAAGGCAGTAAAATCATATTCTGGACATTCTATGCTACATTCAGGGCATGGTGTCAAAATTTCACTTGTGACTGTATAGTAGCGGAATGTTACCTCCTTGCTGGGTGGTTAGTGCAGGGAAAAGTGAAAGCATTGAATAGAAATGTTATATTTACTGGGATTCTGTATTTGTAGCATTCTTGCCATGATATATACAACACGCGCACACACACACACACTTCCTCCCTTTGGGATTTTATTTTTGGGATGGGCTTATAGGTATCTGTACTCAGCATATGGGGATAAAATCTATTTGTAAATGGTGAGCTCAGCTGTCGAGGAAAAAATGGTAAATAGTGAGTTGTAAAACTAAAATGCAAAACCTTCATCTCTATGTTCAAAATCGAAAGCATGGTAATGGTTAATGTGTCACCTCCCCCCCCACCACCACCATTCGTGCATCAATCTAGATTTGAGCTTTGATTTGTTTTGGGGTCGAGATTTTTTCCAAGTCTCGACAGGCCACCTTAACGTGTAAGAGAGCGGCTGGTTCTCTGGAAAGGTGTAGGTGTGGTTTTGCCAGAAGGGGCTACCTGCAGTACCCATGTCCCATTTACGGTGGCTGGCTGTGAGTGGGCTGCTGCTTTCCCCGTCATGGTCCCTTACCATCATTTGTGCCAAACCATTACGCCGGATGTGGAAGAGGGGTGGGGGCAGATGGTGTTACAGTCATTCAAGTCCAGGTCCAGGTCGGGATACCACTTGACTGCACCCTCTCCATGGATGTGCAGTTCGCACGAGATTTTGGTCAAGTCGAGTGATGGATTAGGTGGCCTGTGTGTCTCTCAGCCTCTAGCCTTAAGTTCTAAGGGCTTCACAGCAGACTGTTCTGTATAACTGGGGATGCATCAGTGACAGAAGTGATGCATTTTCATTAGTTCCCCCTCGTAAGTATGATGGTTGGCTGTCCATCGGTTAGCTACCTGGAGTGCCGTGGTGAAGGCGCCCACAAGGTAGTTTCCCGGACGTTGCCAATTCTTTCATGCTGTAAGAAGTTGGGGGAGGTTTAGCAGAAAGCACATCTGTCACTAGGGGGCAGTGCTGGACTCACGTTTTTTAATTTTTTTTTTTTTAAATCGATAGCCATTTATTTTAACCTTCCCATCCCCCAAATGCTGACCAAGGGACTCGGAACTATAACTGCTATGAACAACAGGGCAGATCAATTGCCTGAGATGGGCAATAGGCATGCCGCTGAACTTTCAAAAAGCCTTACTGCAAGCATGTACTAAAGGTATTAAAATATATATATATATATTTATATATATATATATATATATACATATATAAAAATATATATATAAAATATGTATGTATAGTGTTGATGTACAGATTTTTAATTTTGTAGCTAAGCAGATTTACCTCCTAAGGTTATATCTTGAAAAGGCTTATGTTTACAAATAGATTCTCTCAAGTCAGATCAATTTTGGCAAGTCATGTACAGTACTGACAGTAAAACTATTTATATATGTAGAGTACATTGGTATCTGATTTCATTTTTTCCCCAAAGAATTCTAGGGGGAAAAAAGCAAATGCATAAAATATGAACTGAAAAATAAACATGTTCCTTTAAATTCCTCTGGCTGTTTTTTTCCCTCTTGATCTCTTGCTTTACCGTAAGTGTAATATGCATGATGTTAAGCAGTAGTAAAAATATTTTTTAAATTGCTGGATTTGCCATTTAGGTCTGTGATGTGGGAGTCCACACAAGTGACTTGCTTTGAGAGTACACAAACTCCTTCAAGTTGGACTCGCATCTGAATTTCTTGTGCTTAACTTGGGAATATGAATACATATCCTGCCTTTGATTTAAAGAGATGTTTCTGAAAGCGCACACTGATCATGACTTTAACGTTTCTCGACACACTCCCTCCATCACACACAAAAAGAAAATGTGGGATCATAAGCCTTGCCTCACTCTACCAAGCATTAGTGCTTGTTTGTTCATTTATTTTTGGTGAATTAAGAGCAATACTCTCGTTCAACACTCCTAAAACTGAACAATGTAATCAGTGATAAAGTTGATTCAAGATCCAGCAGAAATGTTGACTCTGATGGCCTAATGCAGACATTAATTGTATTCCCTGGACAGGAGGCCTACCACCTCAGATACTGTCTTGTTAGCACCATAACTCAAAAAGTATTTGACATATATTTCAAAACTTCAAATCTTTTGAACATGGACACAATGTCTGTGTGATGACCTGGAACTCAACTTTGAGACGGCTTGCACTAAAAGTGAAGCAGTGCCACATAGTGATACAAAAAAAATAATTTTGGACATTTGCAACTTTGTAGACAGATTGTATTTGTGAGGAACTGGAATCGATCAAAGTCTGACACAACTTGCCCCAAAATTAAAGCTTAGTGGCAGCAAAGGGGAGGATGAAAGCAGACAGCGTTTGACATTGTAAAAGTGATTAAGTCAAAAAGTATTTGATGGATATTATTACTACTTCACAAAAACATTATATGGATGAATATCTACACCTGATATTTTAAGATAAACTGCCCAAAATATAAAGCAGCAGTGCTATGTGGTGACAGAAGAAAGGGCAGCTTTATAAGAGCCTTGATTTTGTGAACACAGTAACTCTAAAAGCATTTTACAGAATTTTTCAAACTTAGCTGACACATTGTATCGGTGATACTGAAAGTGATCAAATTTTGAGCCCGATCGCCCCAAAACTGAAGCAGCGTCGCACAGTGACAGAAAAAGGGGTAGTTTCAAGCATTGGATCCTGTTGTATAACTCAAAGTATTAGACAGATCTTTTTCAACCTTTGCAGACACGTTGTAAGGGTGAATATCTGGACCCATAGAATTTTTAGACAAATCTCACCAAAACTGATACAACAGCACTAAGTAACCTAAGTAAGTAAGGGACTTGGACAAAACCTCATGAACAGGACAACGCAATTTGATATTATTACTCTGTTTACTCTGCTTGATCTTTCATGATCTTATTACCACGTCACAAAAACATTATATGGATGAAAATCTACACCCAATAGACCTGAGAAAAATCACCCCAAGACTGAAACAGCAGTAACAGAGGGCAGGAAAGAGAGGCTGTGGCCATCGTCTTGTGAACACAGCAACACAGCCTTCTTCCATCTAAATTTATTGTACGAATATTTTTACAGATTTCCCAGGAACATTGTGCAGGTCAGTGATTCTCAAACTGTGGGGCACGAGGCGATTTTCAGAATATTCTAAAATTAAGTTTATAATCTGTTTTCATCGCCAGTCCTCCTGCTCAGCAAATGTTATCAGTAGCAGTGCAATATCGTTTGCAAACACCCCCACCCCCGTTCTATGAAATTTTTCGTGAGGGAATTTTAATCATGTCACTTAGCCCTAGTGTAGTTAGGTGTTTTGCAATAGTAGTAGTACAGCACTAGGTGGAGCCATTGAAATGACAAACGCAATAACATAATTAACCGTACTAACAGACATTTATATTTCATCATAGGAAAACAAGTACGTAGAACATGGAGCGAGTGCCTTAAAAAGTCACTGGCCATATTCTTAAACTCAAGTTTTCGAGTGTAGCTTGTGTATGCGTTCTTTTAATGCGACAATTATGGCTTAACCTCAGCAACCCACGCATCTGTTCTTGCTTTACAAGTGGTATTTTTGCAAGTTAAGCGCAAATAACTAAAACATTGCTATTTGGCCTATTATACCATGCTGGTCCTAAAACATTTATTATTTATTAAACCAGGATGACATGTTGATTATGATATATAGGGGAAAAAAGTAGTTTTAAGACAATTTAAGAAAGAGTTTATGCATCTATCCTTCAATAATAAAACACGCAGGCAGAAACGCTATCCAGATGTCACCAAATATCAAGGATGTTTTAATTGGAGGCAGAAGTTGCCATAATACCCGTGTACTGGAGGCACTTTGTGGGACTCGGAGCGCGTCGCTTGTCAATTCAGACATTTAGAACGTGCGTCTTGTGAATCGCAGCTTTGTTGTCCGTCCGGGAAAAACACTCCCTCGTAGACGGGAAGAAATGCTGCACCGTGGGCTTGAATTGTTAAAGGAGGTAGCTTGTCATGGTGAATTAGCTTTGTCTTTAAAAGGGATTGAGTGGAACCAGGCCTTGTCAGCAGAAGAGGAAAACTGACTTGCATCACCGCAGTATGGGTTCTCTGGCAGATTCAGGGGCCCCAGCACTTTAAAGGGGCCCTTGGATACACCAAATTGGGAATTTCTAGCTATAGCCTTACCCCGATAGACCCTTAAAGCGGACCCCGCTCAGCCTAGCAGTCCTCACCTGAGAATATGAATATTTATGTTTTTCAGAGACGTTTTGAATGAGTGATTAGCATTGACAGACATTGGCAGATTCAAGGAGTTCAACACTCTAAAAGCTCCCCCCACCCCCGCCTCTGTAAAATCAACCAGGGGGGTTTCCATCAATTAAAAGATGAATTCCCATTTATTCCGATGACTGGCATAGTAATTAAATGGCGTTTCGCAAACAAATTGTCTACGCTAATCACATTTCCCACTGTGCCGACATGTCATAGTATAGATAAAGTGATGTTTTAATCCTCTGATAAAAGCATTAAGTAAATATTAATTCAACCCCTGGCCTTTTACATCTGTTGATCAGTTTAGCGTACATAATTGAACTATTTAGGGCTCTCCATAAATCAGCGAATTAGCATAAACCAGGACATCGCTTTCTTTCTTTTACAATACTCGTATACTCACTTGCCTACTAAAGCATTACTTTAATTGCTCGATTTAAATAGGCCTAAATAGCCATTCCTTTCGTCAAAACAATGAGATCTCTGCCTTTTTTAGCACAAATAAATAGCAAATGGATTTAAAATGTAAACACACTGACCGAAATACATTCAAACCAAAACCATCCCGGATCAAAGGTCTCTAAGTATTTGACGGATTTTTGGGGTGGGCGGGTGGCGATTGGATCTTTAAATTTTGCACTTAAAATAACCTAAACTAAACTAAAGGCGATAGTAACGAACTGAGGCCAATCTTCGTGTTTGCTACCAAGTATGAGCCGCGAAAAAGCGCCCGGGTCTTAGACGAATCGTACCGTTCGCTTCCACTTCCTCCCCAGACTGCAACGTTACTGAAGGGTGGAGTTTTTTTGCACCGCCTGTGCGGATCGGGGCAGTGAGGGAGCAGAGAAAGAGCAAAAAAAAAATCACCATCTGACATACACCAGCGCTTGGACCATCGCTTGAAGCTGGGGACGGGGAACCTTAATCCGCTGTTTCGATTTCGAGTAGGGGGACGACGACCGTGAACAAACGAGGAGAAAGGCAAGTGCGGCGAAGGGCTTTGCTTGTGCGAGCTGTGCAGGGGAGGAAAAAAAAGTTTCAGCTTGCCTAGGGTGTGAAGTTTCTTTCCGACATTTAACGCAGGGCGACAGCGCTACCCTAGTAAAAGTGGGCTATGCCTTCCGGGAACCTAATTTTTCCTTCGGCTTTTACTTTGGCGTCTCTGCGATCAGGAAGTTTATGCCAGGCCGATGCGATCGTCTGAGTCCTTAATGTTGGACTTGGATATGCGGGCGGCGTTTTTAAAAAATTTTTTTTTAAAAAGGATTTCTTATTTTTTTGCCCGTAGGAAGTGTTGATCGGACTTGTAGCTGAAGCTCCACTGTGCCTGCCTGCACATACCCCGAACACGTCAGCCCTTATGCCGCGCAAGAAGTACTCTATGTGCATGCTATGGTGGCCTCATATATAAAAATCCCACTTCTGAGAAATCTGCTCCGAGGTGGACTGATACAAGTGATGCAAGGCTAAAAGTCTGGGTTATATTTACGCTGACCAGCAAAACGCAGTTCCGATCTCGCGTCCTGTGTACGCTTTTAAATCCGCGCCTTTGGAAAGTATTAAGAAAGTTGTACTGATCTATGAAAGGCGTGTTATAATTCATTGATAGCTATTTCTAACGGTATTTTGTCGAGGTGGCATAGTCTGTAACGTTCCTGTCGGGTCTTGACCCGAATGCCCGGACGTCCGTGGATAAAGTACACTTTATCTAGCTAAAGGGCATTTGTAGGGTTTAATGAAAATTGCCGGGGTATTTTGGGACATGAAACGACAACAACCGATTTATAGATGATACAGCTAACCGACTGCGTGACAGTCATTAATTGATATTGGAAACGACTCTTGACCTGAATTTTTTTTGGTCCCATTCTGGATTTATGTCGACGACAAAAAACCCAAACATACATCACCTTTAAACAGTTCTTGTACCATGAGCCTTTATCTGTCATTGAATTGTACTTATGCGCCGTGCGTGCTGCACTTTTGTTACACGTAATTGTCGGGGCGGACAGAAAATATCTGCCTTCTGGGAGTAACGATTGCAACAGCGGCGTCTACTTCCCTGTAACTGAGTGCCTCTCGACATTACGTAGCTGTAGGCTATGAATTTCTAGCAATGCTGTCAATGAAAACATGACCGGGAAAAGGCAGGCACAACTGTATAAAGTTTTAAAAGAACAGCTGTGGTGTATTGATTTGTTTCTACCTTCCCTAAAGTAATAGATATGCTAATAGTGGTTTATGGT